TCAAACACGTACAAAAATTTAAATATCTGGGAAGTTTTCGAACAAAGAGCGAAAAGTGCGACACTGAGATCTGAAGACGGATTAGGATGACCAAAGATACATTCCAAAAGCTAAGAAGAGTATTAAGAGACAGAAAAGGTTAGAAGTGAAAAACCAATACTGAACTATTATGTGATATATGTCCTCCTATGTGGCAGTGAAAAAAAAACTACTGAATTATTACTTGATATATATCCTCCTATATGGCAGTGAATGCTGGACAATCTCCTCGAAGATAAAATAGTCTTGAAGCAACAGAAATATGGTTCTACAAAAAGCTGCTGAGGATACCATGGACCGAACATGTGAGCAAAAAATGAGGCAGAAGGAGTTATAAGGACTCCCAAGGTTTTAGATGTGTTATTGGTTCAATTACCTAAACCGAAGCAGGGAAGGGGCAACAAAATTAAGATATATAAACCTCATAAAAATAGAGAGAGAGCAGCCCTAATAACGCCTTCTTCTTATTATTATTATGTTAAGACATAGCGTCACATACCGTCAACAAGATTTATGATAAGACAAGAAACTGCCAGAGAATCTTTGCAGAGTAAATGATAGCAGATTTCTGGTGGAACTACAACCTTGCACTCAATTCCAATTTTCCCTAAGCGTTCTTTAATTTTAAACATCGCCTGAAAAAATATACAGAAATACCTAATTTCCACCGGTTTTTGCTTAAAGAACTGACTTCAAAATTTAACTATTTCAAGAATAAATCCAAATAAAGTTGACATGATATCATTTGTATTAGATGGATTGAATGGAAAATATATTGAAACTAGAATTCTAATTATGAATCATCACAAGCAAAATATCCAATGTTTTATTCTGGTAGTCTATAAGTGAGAATAATCAATAAAGAAGATTTTATGCTATTTATCAGGTCGTAATTAATAAAAACAAAAATTAAATAAAAGTGCATATAACACTATAATATTGTTTAAAATGTTTATTTTTTTCAAATTTGAATCGTTAATTAAAAATCGGACTAAAACTATTGTACTGTATAATATATTGCATAATAATATCACTAAAGTGCTTAGTATAATTTCCCTTTGAAGGAAATGATGGTGTAATTTGATGGCACAATGATTTGGTAATAATGTTCTTGTGCCTTGCCTCTTATCTATAAACAACCCCAACTTTCAAATTGATTGCAAAACCATGGTTCCAGAGTCGACCTGCCCTATTGTGAGACTGCTTGTCTGAGAAAAAAGCTGCAAAGTGAACACTGGATAGCTCCAGTTCAGATATAGGGATTTACTAAACGTAGTTTAGATGTGGCACAAGGCCGAAAGTATTAAGCACACCGTGAGGATTGCTCTCACTACTCAGTCGTAATTGATCTAGAGAAACAAGCTTGCTAACAATTATACTACGTCGAAGTGTCTACTCCAGTTCAATTATAGCAACAATATTCTGTCTTTGGTGTAATCAGACTCTTGTTTCGTTTTTTTGTTTTTTTAATCATTTTCACCCCAAGCAAACCGATAAAGCCACGAAGACGGAATGGACACAACTGAGAGTGAAAGAAACGTTACTGCGGAGAAAGGACAATAAAAAGAACAGATTTCATGGAGACAGAATAAAGATTCGACGTGTCATTTAAATGTTTGAAGATCATAATTAACAGATAAGGAAAAAAAACTGCAAGAGAATTGCAAGAGACGAAACTGTTAGAATGAAACTCATGGTTATATGTAACAATTTCGACAATAAAAAGATGACACTTAGCTACCAATCTAGTACTACTGTTAGAGTTATGGAGTCGAGGTACCAAAGAGGTTAGTTTATCAGAACAATTGTAATGAAAATACTTATAGAAATGGCACAGTGAAGCCATTTTACGGGCGTTTGAGAGTGATTGATGCCGAGTTGCCAGTTCTTTAGATTTTTATCAAGAATCTATAGATATGTAGCAAAAGCATCAAACGAGATTTGGTAGCAATATTTAATGCATTAGCGCATGGTAGATTTATAAATGTTTAAGATAGATTCGGGTGAGAAGAACTGTATCCCACGGCCAATTTTTTTAACCCAAGGCTTAGCAACTGACTCGATATATTCCATCTTTATCACGTATGTAAGAAATTAATTAATTTCACTGATCGCTTCCTTTATGATGAAGGTGTTGAGATCTATTGTAATCGTCATCCGTTTTTTCCATCGTTGGAGACTTTGGGGTTGACTCGCCATAATCATTCCAATTCATACCCGCGGTAAACATTTTAAAGATAAAGTACGTAAGATTGGTGCACTACCATTCCCCGTGCATTGAATACTGCTGCCATATTTAGTCAGGTGCTTCGAAACCTTTACATTCTCAACAATATCCAAAGAAGGGCATGTTCTTCTATCTGTCTCGAAGTGGCATCTCGACTTCACGCACTTTAACATAGCCGTGACGTAATTCCCGCTACCTTTTATATATATATATATATATATATATATATGTGTGTGTGTGTGTGTGCAGAAATATAGTTTTAAACTGCTATATAGCGATAAAAAATCGAAAACCGAATAGATTAAATAAAAATATACAAAATAAATAATAAGCAAATAAGAAAAAATTAATCCTAATAAATAAATAAATTAACAAATCGCTTCCGCTAAAATAATCGCTAGAACGCATAAAAATAAACAGAAATAAGCGAAAACCAGTAAAAATAATCAATCCAAATAAATAAAATAATAAACAAGTTAAAGTTCCCTGCCAAAACAGCAGAATAGACTACTGCAATCAATCCAAAAATTGGAAGAGTAAATAACTTTATCTTCCAATATTAAATAAGCGACCTAAACAATTAATCCACAGACAGACTGTTTCGCTGTTTACAGCTCATCAGTGAGGCTAGACATCCGGTTGTCTCTAGCTAGGATCGAAACCCGACTGAACTGGTGTCAGTCGGAGCTTCTAACCACTAAGCCGTCGGCGCACGGTAGGGTTGGAGGTAGATTTTTAGCGTATATATTTTTGTAAACATGCCCAGTGACTGACAGTGACTCAATTCGCTTACGCGAAGAGTCTCGCTATATTAGCTATAATAGTCACTGTTTACCAACCCACACCTCATTCCCAGAGTGCTCAACTGAAATCAAATTCAGGAGCTAATATAATATATATAATATATATATATATCGTCGTCGACTCCCACCAAAACAGCCGCCAGAATGGATTACCCACAATGCACATATATATACAAATCCAAGACTTGCGTCTAGCATGAAACAGCCTGTCGCCTCTGGGTGTTAACTCCAATGTTCACTTTGATATATATATATATATATATATATATATATATATATATATATATAATGTCATCCACAGACAGACTGTTTCGCTGTTTACAGCTCATCAGTGCGGCTAGACATCCGGTTGCCTCTAGCTAGGATCGAAACCCGACTAAATTGGTGTCAGTCGGAGCTTCTAACCACTAGGTAGGAATGGAGGTAGATTTTTAGCGTATTTATTTTTGTAAACATGCCCAGTGACTGACAGTGACTCAATTCGCTTACGCGAAGAGTTTCGCTATATTAGCTATAATAGTCACTGTTTACCAACCCACACCTCATTCCCAGAGTTCTCAACTGAAATCAAATTCAGGAGCTAATATAATGTCATCCACAGACAGACTGTTTCGCTGTTTACAGCTCATCAGTGCGGCTAGACATCCGGTTGCCTCTAGCTAGGATCGAAACTTCTAACCACTAAGCCGTCGGCGCACGGTAGGAATGGAGGTAGATTGGGTGATCGCTAATTGGTTTCTTCGAAGATAAAATGAGAACTTCAACTAAAGGGATTTTGAACTTATCTATTTTATTAAACACGTCGACATGTACATTTTTAACTGGGCATTGGGGTCGCTGTATCACCTCCATTGGCGAGCAAGTTCCCCGAGACATGAAATAACCATGTCTAATGTGTATGACGTGTAAAAACTTAACTCACTGAAAACACTTTCTATCTCTGCTCAGCCAATCAAAGTTGGTATCCCTATTTTGTCTACCATCTGACCTTAAGGTCAGCCGCAGAAGCTTGTAGCCACTAAAAAATAATAATCTGAAACTATTATTTAATATTTGTTTTTTTAACTGAATATCAACTTCCTACGGGTCATTTAATGTCGAAATTTTATTTTCTTGGGAGCTTGTGGAATTTCTTTTTACAAACATCTATTCCTGGTAATATTATACTTTTTTTATCTAGATCACTATTTGTGGGTTCACTATTTGCCCATAGCTAGGACCCTAACAGGTGCTACAACCTCAGATCAGGGTGGACATGAGAAAAACACAAATTAAATGGTGATTCCACGTTCCTCAAAAGGAAATAGGTAGATGTAACTATAGACTCTATCCTAATAGTTTCTTTTCTCGAACTTCTCGCCTGTGAAACTCTCTTCCGGTTTCCTTCTTCCTTGCCACCAACAATCCTCAAACATTTAAATGCAATGTTAATCACCGTCTTCTGTCTTCCTCAGTCCTGTTCTTTTATTGTCCTTTCGGACTGCTAAAATCTTCTTCACTCCTAGTAACACCTTGTATCTAGGTGGCTTTATCTCTTTGCTTGAGATGAAATAATTAAAACAGGAAATGTCAAAAATACTTCCTGGAATCGATAGAACCGACCATTTTCCCAAAATATTGAACAATGAATCGTATACAGAAGATCCACTTGAGGTTGCAAGTGAACTTGATTGATTGATTTGATTTCTTACGGCCTATCAACTATTTGCAAGCCAGAAAATATTTTTATATCTTAAGGATTTTGAGGGATCATAATTATTTACTCATGTAAATTCTACTAATAAAGCGATACCTTGGGTAAGAGGTGATATCATTCCTTTCCGAAAGTTATTTACGCCGAAGTGAATATATCGAACCTGACTGGAATTGAAACACAGTTCTCTGAATTCTAATTCTGAGCGTTTTCTATTACGCCACTAGCACATGCAAGTTTACAGCAACTGGTATTCACAAGTTTTCATCCATCTAAGTACTGACCAGGCCCGACGTCGCTTAACTTCGATGATCGTATGGAAACTGGTGTTACAATGGAATATGGCCATAAGGCCTGAAGTGAACTTAAGAGCCAACAGATGTTCAAAGTATGACGCTTCATTAAGAGTGCAAATGTGATCATGACTAGAGAAAAGTCGCTGTTTGATTATTGATAATGAAACGATACTAATTTCGGTTTGGATGTAGTGAAAGTTACAAACCAATTTTTCTTTTACCCATTGAGCTTTTAGAGTAAGGTGAGAAGATAAATAAACTTCCCCGATCATCTTGACTTTTGCAAGTGCGTCGATAAACTATGGTATCATCTGCATAAAAGTGTGCTCTTAATCTGAGAATGTTCCCATACCTGTTTACATTATCCACATACATGTCTTTTCATTAAACTAAGAAAAAATGGCAAAATAGGCAAAAATCTTCCGTGCTAGACTATGTCTTGTGGCGGATGAAAAATTAGTTACACTATCCACATAAATGTATTCTTGCGCTTGTCGGTTTTGGAAGATCTGTTATGTTGTAATTTTGAAAAACGATTTAAATTGATTTCCAGCCAAATCACCAGTGGTTGTGTGGTCATTATAGTTTAATCTCATGGACTTTGGTCAGAACTTAAAACTAGTGGTTAGTAGCACTGTAAACTTCTCTGTGATCTTTTTTCAGGAAATAAAGAGAAACAAATCCGTTGGATCCTTGGTTTATTCAAAATTAGCACGTTAACCACAACTGCCAGCAGTAGAAAAACAGAATATGTATTTGAATAAGCTGCAAAAAGATCTAATAGAAGATTAAACAATGTATTTTAGCTATTTATTAGCCTTAATACCAGGTCACAGCTATGGACACTATAAATTTCGAAAATGGCAGTCTCTTGCTAACCATAGCGCCCAATCGCTATGGATATTTATTACCCTTTAGCTTAATCTGGCACAAGGTTTTAGTTGTGAGAAACTGATGAGGAACCAAAATCACTTCGAAATATCGTGCTACAGTAAGCAGCCAATAATTTTGTTCAACTTCGTTTGTCGCAGTGTCAAACAAAAGATATTAACAATGGAAAATGAAGCCTTGGATAGATCAAATGTTTTGATTGATCAGAATAGCTGTTCTGTAACGTGTCTCTCATAAAAAAAAAACGGTCCTACTGTAGCACGGTTTGAGTCGGTTGAAATGGACGAAACTTCATCGAAGATATGTCATCATCTGACGTTAAAAACAAAAAAAAAATAAAGGAAAATAGCACTCAATCTTCAGCCTTTTTCCTGGTATTTTGGTGTCAGATTTTGGAACATTAACGCATCAGCTTCTGTTTTATTTGCTTTCATTTTGTACCTTCCACTCGTCAGGTCAATATACTGATGATGAGCAGGGCTAGATAATGACAGTTTTTCATAGATTTTTTTATCAGTTCACTCCCAAGCAAGGCAATAAAGCCACTAGGACGCAAGAAGTTACTAAGTTCTAAAGGATATGAGAAGAACTGCTATTAAAAGAGAGCGAACAATAAAAAAAAAAAAAAATGAGGATGAAAAAAAACAGAAGATAACGATTGGCATTGCATTTAAATTTTTAAAGATCAAAGTAGACTGGGAAGCAAGAAGTCGGAAGAGAGTTCCACAATTGAGAAGTGCGATAGAAAAAACTGTTAGCATAGGATTTACGCTTGTATCTAGCCATTGTAACTGTAATTTGATAAAACCTTTCCGCCAATCTAGTACTGCGCTTAAATCAAGTTGGGTTAACAATAATAATAAATTAAAATAAAATATCGAAATGCGAAACCTAATGTTACAAGAAATAAAAATAAAAAAATCAGAAATTATGATCTAAAACTGGAATGGAATTAGTGATGGCACCTACCATGAATCAATCATAAAAATTCAGGACGTAGAATTACCAAATACTAAGCACTTCAAATACCTTGATATATAAATCAGTTATCACAAATTTAGTATAGGTGAAAAGGAAATTAGCATAGAATTGGTTGTATAAGGGAACTTTCACCCAAAACCGCAAATTGCTAAATTAAAAAAAAAAAAAAAAAAAAAAACTTAACCTAAAAGTTCGAGTGATTTTCTTAAATGTTTTAGTTTTTCCTTCCGCTTGTGCTGTTAGGTGTCACGGGGAGACACAGTCGTCTGTCCGCGGCAAGGGGGGGTGACCTGGAGGAGAGATATCTCGTGGGCTCTGAGAGTGTCTGCCACTGAGTCGCTCCAGCGTCTTCTTTGTCTGCCTCTCGCTCTCCAGCCAAAGTACTTGAGGGTGTATGCTCGTAGGGCTGGTTGATAGGTATACGAGTGAGGTGTCTGAACCACTTGATCCTCTGTCGTTCGATCATGATTGGTATTGCTCCTGCCATATCTCTTATTGCCTCATTCCTGATCTTATCTCACCTGGTTTGTTCACTACTTTCCTCATGCATTTCCTCTCACAAGTGATCAGTTTCCTCTCAAGAGGTTTTGTTAGGGGCCATGTCTGGCATTGGTATGTCAACGTTGGTAGGAAAATGGATTTGATGAGATTTGCCTTGACGCTCATGGAAATGCTAGAATGTTTTAGAAGAGGAGCAAGTTGGTCACTGACTGCGTTGGCTTTCTGGCATTTGGTCTTAATCTCTCTGTCTAGTTTGTCGTTTTCAGTTTCAGGAACACATTAACCAACTCAACTCTGCGAGAAATAGATGTAGATCACTCTCAGTAAGACTGAGGTCATGACCATTAGCAAGAGACCAGAAAAACTGGACATTAACATCAATGGGACCCAGCTAAAGCAAACCAATGGATTCAAATATCTGGGCAGCATATTTACTGGTTTTTTTTTAATACTCTCATCAAGTCGAACATTTCATATGTGATATGTTCCGGAAAGGGATATATTTGATCCCAAGTAGCTACGTGCTTTAGGCTACTGTAACCGAGTAGAACAATCTAGCAGGTAGCAGTAATGGAACTGGTACTCGTCGTAGTCACAGTCAACAGGTGTAGGCAATAGGCGTAGACCAATAGGATAGCCAAAGGCGTAGTCCAATGGGCGTCCTCAATAGGTGTACTCCTGTACATCTACATCAGCCTGTATTTATGGCTGACACCAGCCAATCATATTCCTGTGAGGGGGAACACAGGCGTATTCATATTCATTACATCAATATGAATGTCATGCATGGTGACAAACAGGTTTAGAAACATTTGAATTGTTAATTGAATACAACTGTTTTCTCAGTTCAACGTTAAAAAATTGCATCAAGTTGATGAAGTAAGTGGGCCTCAATGAGGACTATCCTCCTTCCAACCTCGTGGATTGGCGCTACAGAATCATAAGCACTGCCAAATAACCAAAACCACAACATTTCAAGACATTTTGTAGCAACAACAACTAAAATGGATACCACATGTAACTAGAAGGGAAATTGATATAATCAAGATGTTGACGTTCCACACAACCTCAAACAAAAGGTTAAGAAGGAAGCCCCCATCAATGCTGTAAAGAGCGATAGCAGTTAATTTGAGAAACCTGTTCTTCTCATAAATTTTTTCAATATATATTTTTTTTTAATTTCAACCGACAGTAGCATTGGCGTCTCTTTCAATTAATTCCAAATATTTCCTTATAAGGATATCTGTTAAGATTACCGTTAGAATTATCATTTGGCATTTTTTTGTTCCAAATCAAGCTTAATAAGTATCAAGATTTAAGGATGGAAGGATACGTGTGAGAAAATGAGAGAATGTATAAACAGAAGGAAAAAGATAGAAAAAAACGAGAATAATACAGAAAACAATAAAGAATAAAACAACGAGGAAGGAAGGAATAAAACAATGAGGAAGGAAGGAATAAAACAATAAGGAAGGAAAGAATAAAACAATGAGGAAGGAAGGAATAAAACAATAAGGAAGGAAGGAATAAAACAATGAGGAAGGAAGGAATAAAACAATAAGGAAGGAAAGAATAAAACAATAAGGAAGGAAAGAATAAAACAATAAGGAAGGAAGGAATAAAACAATGAGGAAGGAAGGAATAAAACAATGAGGAAGGAAGGAATAAAACAATGAGGAAGGAAGGAATAAAACAATAAGGAAGGAAGGAATAAAACAATGAGGAAGGAAGGAATAAAACAATAAGGAAGGAAAGAATAAAACAATGAGGAAGGAAGGAATAAAACAATAAGGAAGGAAGGAATAAAACAATGAGGAAGGAAGAATAAAACAATAAGGCAGGAAAGAATAAAACAATAAGGAAGGAAGGAATAAAACAATGAGGAAGGAAGGAATAAAACAATGAGGAAGGAAGGAATAAAACAATGAGGAAGAAAGGAATAAAACAATGAGGAAGGAAGGAATAAAACAATAAGGAAGGAAAGAATAAAACAATGAGGAAGGAAGGAATAAAACAATAAGGAAGGAAGGAATAAAACAATGAGGAAGGACGGAATAAAACAATAAGGAAGGAAAGAATAAAACAATGAGGAAGGAAGGAATAAAACAATAAGGAAGGAAGGAATAAAACAATGAGGAAGGAAGGAATAAAACAATGAGGAAGGAAGGAATAAAACAATGAGGAAGGAAGGAATAAAACAATAAGGAAGGAAGGAATAAAACAATGAGGAAGGAAGGAATAAAACAATAAGGAAGGAAGGAATAAAACAATAAGGAAGGAAGGAATAAAACAATAAGGAAGGAAGGAATAAAACAATAAGGAAGGAAGGAATAAAACAATAAGGAAGGAATAAAAGAATAAAAACAATAAGGAAGGAAAGAATAAAACAATGAGGAAGGAAGGAATAAAACAATAAGGAAGGAAGGAATAAAACAATGAGGAAGGAAAAAGAAAAACAATAAGGAAGGAAGGAATAAAACAATAAGGAAGGAAGGAATAAAACAATAAGGGAATAAAAGGAAAAAGAATAAAACAATAAGGAAGGAAAGAATAAAACAATAAGGAAGGAAGGAATAAAACAATAAGGAAGGAAGGGAATAAAAAAATAAGGAAGGAAGGAATAAAACAATAAGGAAGGAAGGAATAAAACAATAAGGAAGGAAGGAATAAAACAATAAGGAAGGAATGAATAAAACAATAAGGAAGGAAAGAATAAAACAATAAGGAAGGAAAGAATAAAACAATAAGGAAGGAAGGAATAAAACAATGAGGAAGGAAAGAATAAAACAATAAGGAAGGAAGGAATAAAACAATAAGGAAGGAAGGAATAAAACAATAAGGAAGGAAGGAATAAAACAATAAGGAAGGAAAGAATAAAACAATAAGGAAGGAAGGAATAAAACAATAAGGAAGGAAAGAATAAAACAATAAGGAAGGAAGGAATAAAACAATGAGGAAGGAAGGAATAAAACAAAAGGAAGGAAGGAATAAAACAATAAGGAAGGAAAGAATAAAACAATAAGGAAGGAAGGAATAAAACAATAAGGAAGGAAGGAATAAAACAATAAGGAAGGAAGGAATAAAACAATAAGGAAGGAAAGAATAAAACAATAAGGAAGGAAGGAATAAAACAATAAGGAAGGAAGGAATAAAACAATAAGGAAGGAAAGAATAAAACAATAAGGAAGGAAAGAATAAACCATAAGGAAGGAAGGAATAAAACAATAAGGAAGGAATGAATAAACCATAAGGAAGGAAGGAATAAAACAATAAGGAAGGAAGGAATAAAACAATAAGGAACGAATGAATAAAACAATAAGGAAGGAAAGAATAAAACAATAAGGAAGGAAGGAATAAAACAATAAGGAAGGAAAGAATAAAACAATAAGGAAGGAAAGAATAAAACAATAAGGAAGGAAGGAATAAAAAGGAAGGAATAAAACAATGAGGAAGGAAGGAATAAAACAATAAGGAAGGAAGGAATAAAACAATGAGGAAGGAAGGAATAAAACAATAAGGAAGGGAAAGAATAAAACAATAAGGAAGGAAGAATAAAACAATAAGGAAGGAAGGAATAAAACAATAAGGAAGGAATGAATAAAACAATAAGGAAGGAAAAAATAAAACAATAAGGAAGGAAAGAAAAAACAATGAGGAAGGAAAGAATAAAACAATGAGGAAGGAAGGAATAAAACAATAAAAGAAGGAAGGAAGGAAGGAATAAAACAATAAGGAAGGAAAGAATAAAACAATAAGGAAGGAAGGAAAGGAATAAAACAAAAAGGAAGGAAGGAAGGAATAAAACAATAAGGAAGGAAGGAATAAAACAATGAGGAAGGAAAGAATAAAACAAGGAAGGAAGGAAGGAATAAAACAATGAGGAAGGAAGGAATAAAACAATGAGGAAGGAAGAATAAAACAATGAAGGAAGAAAAAGAATAAAACAATAAGGAAGGAAGGAATAAAAACAATGAGGAAGGAAGGAAAAAAAACAATGAGGAAGAAAGGAATAAAAACAATGAGGAAGGAAGGAATAAAAAACAATAAGGAAGGAAAAGAATAAAACAATGAGGAAGGAAGGAATAAAACAATAAGGAAGGAAGGAATAAAACAATGAGGAAGGAAGGAATAAAACAATAAGGAAGGAAGGAATAAAACAATGAGGAAGGAAGGAATAAAACAATAAGGAAGGAAGGAATAAAACAATGAGGAAGGAAGGAATAAAACAATAAGGAAGGAAGGAAGGAATAAAACAATGAGGAAGGAAGGAATAAAACAATGAGGAAGGAAGGAATAAAACAATGAGGAAGGAAGGAATAAAACAATGAGGAAGGAAGGAATAAAACAATAAGGAAGGAAGGAATAAAACAATGAGGAAGGAAGGAATAAAACAATAAGGAAGGAAAGAATAAAACAATAAGGAAGGAAGGAATAAAAACAATAAGGAAGGAAGGAATAAAACAATAAGGAAGGAAGGAATAAAACAATAAGGAAGGAAAGAATAAAACAATAAGGAAGGAAGGAATAAAACAATAAGGAAGGAAAAGAATAAAACAATAAGGAAGGAAGAATAAAACAATAAGGAAGGAAGGAATAAAACAATAAGGAAGGAAAGAATAAAACAATAAGGAAGGAAGGAATAAAACAATGAGGAAGGAAAGAATAAAACAATAAGGAAGGAAGGAATAAAACAATAAGGAAGGAAGGAAGGAATAAAACAATAAGGAAGGAAAGAATAAAACAATAAGGAAGGAAGGAATAAAACAATAAGGAAGGAAGGAATAAAACAATAAGGAAGGAAAGAATAAAACAATAAGGAAGGAAGGAATAAAACAATGAGGAAGGAAAGAATAAAACAATAAGGAAGGAAGGAATAAAACAATAAGGAAGGAAGGAATAAAACAATAAGGAAGGAAAGAATAAAACAATAAGGAAGGAAGGAATAAAACAATGAGGAAGGAAGGAATAAAACAATGAGGAAGGAAGGAATAAAACAATGAGGAAGGAAGGAATAAAACAATGAGGAAGGAAGGAATAAAACAATGAGGAAGGAAGGAATAAAACAATGAGGAAGGAAGAATAAAACAATAAGGCAGGAAAGAATAAAACAATAAGGAAGGAAGGAATAAAACAATGAGGAAGGAAGGAATAAAACAATGAGGAAGAAAGGGAAAAAACAATGAGGAAGGAAGGAATAAAACAATAAGGAAGGAAAGAATAAAAACAATGAGGAAGGAAGGATAAAATAAAACAATAAGGAAGGAAGGAATAAAACAATGAGGAAGGACGGAATAAAACAATAAGGAAGGAAAAGAATAAAACAATGAGGAAGGAAGGAATAAAACAATAAGGAAGGAAGGAATAAAACAATGAGGAAGGAAGGAATAAAACAATAAGGAAGGAAGGAATAAAACAATGAGGAAGGAAGGAATAAAACAATGAGGAAGGAAGAATAAAACAATGAGGAAGGAAGGAATAAAACAATGAGGAAGGAAGGAATAAAACAATAAGGAAGGAAGGAATAAAACAATGAGGAAGGAAGGAATAAAACAATAAGGAAGGAAAGAATAAAACAATAAGGAAGGAAGGAATAAAACAATAAGGAAGGAAAGAATAAAACAATAAGGAAGGAAGGAATAAAACAATGAGGAAGAAAAGAATAAAACAATAAGGAAGGAGGAATAAAGGAAAAAACAATAAGGAAGGAAGGAATAAAACAATAAGGAAGGAAAGAATAAAAACAATAAGGAAGGAAGGAATAAAACAATAAGGAAGAATAAAAGAATAAAACAATAAGGAAGGAAGGAATAAAACAATAAGGAAGGAAGGAATAAAACAATAAGGAAGGAAAGAATAAAACAATAAGGAAGGAAGGAATAAAACAATAAGGAAGGAAAGAATAAAACAATAAGGAAGGAAGGAATAAAACAATAAGGAAGGAAGGAATAAAACAATAAGGAAGGAAAGAATAAAACAATAAGGAAGGAATAAAACAATAAGGAAGGAAAGAATAAAACAATAAGGAAGGAAAGAATAAAACAATAAGGAAGGAAAGAATAAAACAATAAGGAAGGAAGGAATAAAACAATAAGGAAGGAAGGAATAAAACAATAAGGAAGGAAAGAATAAAACAATAAGGAAGGAAAGAATAAAACAATGAGGAAGGAAAGAATAAACCATAAGGAAGGAAGGAATAAAACAATAAGGAAGGAATGAATAAACCATAAGGAAGGAAGGAATAAAACAATAAGGAAGGAAGGAATAAAACAATAAGGAAGGAATGAATAAAACAATAAGGAAGGAAAGAATAAAACAATGAGGAAAGGAACGAATAAAGTTGGAAGAGTGAACTTTTAAAAAAAAAAGACAAGTAGGTTTCGCGTTATCACTATTCAGTTAAAAAGTTTACTTTTTTTAGTATTTTGATTTTCTTGAGGCAAAAAAAAGAATGACATTAAGTAAAAATCAATACTTCCCTCACACTCTAAGCCACACTTATGTTTATCCGTCTTCGAGATGAGAAATTCCTGCAGGCTTTGCATCTATAATTATTCCAACATCATTTCCACTCCAAATTCAGTAACAACTTGGCTGAACATCTGTTCGGACAGGTAAAGTGAGACGGAAGGCTGGGGTCGGCGAATATCTTCTCATTAAACTAAGCAGAAGTGGCAAAATATGCAAAAATCTTTCGTGCTAGACTATGTCTTGAGGCGGATGAAAAATTGGTTACACTGTCCACATACATGTATTCTTGCGCTTGTCGGAAGGTCTGTTATGTTGTAATGTTGAGAAACGTTTCAAATTGACTTCCAGCCAAATCACCAGTTGTTTTGTGGTCACCGTAGCAATGTGAACTATGGTCAGTACTTAAAACTAGTGCTATGTATCCATAAGGAACTCCAAGTACTGCAAACAACCTGTGATCTTGTTTCAGAAAATAAAGAGAAATAAATCCGTTCGCGCCTTGGGTCGTGAGTATATTTGAGCATTTTTTACTATGTTGTGAAAAATATAATATAAAATAAGCGACAGCAAGCAAGAAGAAAATAATCCGAACAGATACATTAAAATCTGATATGACTGATCATATGGATCTCCGCGACAAGTTAACATTTCGTTCTCGTCTGATACGTTTGCTTGTTACTAATACCTCTGTGAAAGATATAAACTGATCCTTTCTGTTGTTCATACACACCTGGCCCAGTGTCGGATCCTTTGGTTACGGCGCCAACGGTGACGTCGCTCCTCCTGGTCGTTCCTCCTGGGTCCAAGCGTGCCGCTCCAACCCTTTGGTCAGATGATCACCAGCCTCGCCTTTCCTGACTCGCTTCCAATACCTGGTCACTAAAGCAACTATACCGATCTCCGGTCTGTCTACCCACGCTGTGTTTAGATCTTAGACAGACGGGACCAGCAGGGATCGGGGCCGATACAAGTTGAGTCCGACGGGGTGGCAAAACACAAATAAAATAAAACTCACGACACCAAACAAAATTGTTGATAAAAGGGTAACAACCTTTTTATATCTTAAAGTCCGTTACATAAAAACAAAATTGTTCTCAATTCCTGACCCGCTCTGTGGACTATGGCACCAAGCTTCTATCACACAATAGGAAAATGTCGAATTACCTACTTTCTAGAATCATGTATGTATGTCGGAGTGTGGTTCAGTTCGACACTGGGGCTAATTTCTATCGATCATTCGCAGTTGATTCTTCTCTCCGACTTGAGTTGTATTTCTTCTTCTTCTTCTGTTTAGACTGGTAGATTTCTTGTTTCAACCCAGTGGAAGATTTCTTGCTTCGATTCAGTGGAAGATTTCTTGCTTCGATTCAGTGGAAGATTTCTTGCTTCGATTCAGTGGAAGATTTCTTGCTTCAATTCGGTGGAAGATTTCTTGTCTTCAACTTGGGCTGGAAGGATTTCTTGTTTCGAGGATTCTTCTGTCGTCCGAGGGTGAACTGCAACTCACGCCCAACCTAACTCCAACTTCAACTCAACTTCAGCTCCAACTCTTCTCAGGTTTTCAGGCAATCTTCTTCTTCATCTACTTGGGCTGGAAGTTCTTCTGTCTTCGACTTGGGCTGGAAGTCCTTCTGTCTGAGGGTTCTTTTTGCCCGCAAAGGGCGAGTGAATCAGGTCTTAGGTTCAGGATCTTCCCTGCCCGCGGTCCTGCTGCAACTCAGCCCAACTCCGGCTGCATCTCCAACTCAAACTTCAGCTCCAACTTCAGCTCCAACTCTTCTCAGGTTTTCAGGCAATCTTCTTCTTTATCTACTTGGGCTGGAAGTTCTTCTGTCTTCGACTTGGGCTGAAAGTCCTTCTGTCTGAGGGTTCTTTGCCCGCAAAGGGGCGAGTGAATCGGGTCTTATGTCCGCGTTCAGGATCTTCCCCTGCCCGCGGTCCTGCTGCAACTCAGCCCAACTCCGGCTGCATCTCCAACTCAAACTGATTTCTGTCGACTGGGGTCCTGCTTATATTGACGCCGCAACAAACTGGGGTGGGTCGGTCGGCGTCAGGGGTTTCTCGATAATTTCAAAAGTCGTATTAATTTTGACTTTCCATTATCGTTATTGTTTTCACCCCTACTTTCTCACAGAGCTCTTGGTTGGGCGGCGCATATCTATTTCTCTTAGTCTCTCTCTCATGTCAGGTGATCGCTCTCAACCAATCGTTCCTGATCGAACCTTTCTTTTCTTCTTTCCGCAGCCCACGTGACCGCCTCGTCCAACAGTTATTGATCGAGGTTTTCTTTCCTTCTTCTTCCGCGGTCACGTGATTGTATTCGACCAATTGTTATTGACCGAACACCCTCTCCCTTTTGTTGGCGGGTGTGGTTACATCGTGCTGGTTTTAAAAAAAACAAAATCCGATTTCGCACCTTTTTGCACGTACGCAAAATGACAATCTTTAGCTTTCTTTCACCTGGACTTTGTCAAACAGCCCGCTGCTAATTAGTCTTGACTTTAGAAAAGGATCTTTTCCGCCTTCTTGGCGCCCTCTGTGAGCCAAAACAATTGTCCCTTTTTTACTTCTTTGTTTTACCTGATAGTCGAAAATCTTAATTATCTAGGTCGAAATATCTCTACTTTCTTAACGTGGGTGTCCAATTTTAACAGGTCAATTCCGTATATCGTTTCACTGGTCACTCCCCTCAACCCAAAGACACTTTCTCTCAGATCACAAATTTCGTTTCTATTGTTCAAAAAAAAAAAATAAAAATTTCTCTTCACTCCAAATTGATAAGGGTTTTTGACGCAAGAGTCGGTCAGAGGCCTCTGACCGACATCTGGTCGATATCATGTCTTTTTCCTTTTTTTTTTTATTATTTCCAATTCTATTCTTCCCTTTGTTTTAAAAAAAAAAAAAGTCGACCACACGCAGACCTATCTCTACCATCAACTGGGTCATGCGTCATACATTTTTCTTTCTTTCTTTTTTCTTCCTTCCTTCCTTTTTTTTTTTCTTTCCTTCTTCTTTCCTTAGGATCGTCTAGTACATTCTTAGTGAATTATTTTCAACTCAGTTATTTTCCGTTTAAAAAAAAATTAACAACCTGTTTAATAAACTGAATAAGAAAAAAATTAACTCATATTTCTATGAATATTTCCAATAAATGCAAGGTGCCATAATCCTCCTTTAACTGATTTGTCATTTACCCGTAAATGACACCTAAACCCAATTACATCATTTAACATGCACCATGCATTTGTCTCATGCAATTCTATTCTACTTTCTAACATGCAAGGGTAATGTTCTTTCCATTTTCTTTTTGTTCTACATGCAATGAAATGTTCTTTTCATTTTCTTTTGTTCTACATGCAATGAAATGTTCTTTTCATTTTCTTTTTGTTCTACATGCAATGTAATGTTCTTTTCATTTTCTTCTGTTCTACATGCAATGAAATGTTCTTTTCATTTTCTTCTGTTCTACATGCAATGAAATGTTCTTTTCATTTTCTTTTTGTTCTACATGCAATGAAATGTTCTTTTCATTTTCTTTTGTTCTACATGCAATGAAATGTTCTTTTCATTTTCTTTTTGATCTACATGCAATGAAATGTTCTTTTTCATTTTCTTTTTGTTCTACATGCAATGAAATGTGTGTGTGTCTGTAGGTGCAGATGTGTTCTTTAGGGTTTGTTCTTCTTGGTCAATGTTTTCCTCTCTGCTGTGGGAGGTTTTTCCGCCGCACGTGGTGGTCTCACGCCAGCCTCCTCCATTGGTCTTCCAGCAATTTCTTCGCCAGTTCTGTCTGAGTGAGGAACACCGCTCGGCATCTCCCTCTCGAGATGCTCACTAGACTGTCGTTCGCTAATCTTCTCCTACTCTTAATCTTCCATATTATTACACCCCCGATGGCTATAACTAAGAATGTACCCATTACTATTGACCAATTTATCGCGATCTGCTCATCGTCTTCCCAAGCTACACCTTCGTCTCCCAGCGCACTTAACTTATCTCTTAAGTGATCCATATCGATCTTTTCTATGGGCTTCATTAAAATTGGCATCTTATTTAAGGTAACATTAGAGAATCTCTTTACTATCGGCTCCCATAATTCTGTACAATTGACTAAGCCTCTACCAATCATCTCTATGAGTGAAATTTTTTTCTTCATACCTTTCTTCCATCTGGTAATAGGGGGCAAGGAGATGGACACCCCAACCGCCGAACATCCCATGGGTAGCGTCACCAGGGATAACGGTGGCCTTATTCTTAATGTCCTTGTGGACTCTCCCCACATACCCTAGACAGGCTGATATGTTTCTGTGTGGCTACTGCCCACACCCCTGTCTGAAACACTGATAGCTTGTGGTAATGCTGAGTTTGTTAATACCTCTACTTGGCAGATTCTTTTTGATTCCTTCTCCCTCCCTTCAAACAATTCTAGTATGCACAGTTTGCGGTTACCAGTTTTATAGATAGGGCTCAACGAGGTACAAGTCCCCAGGGTATCATCTCTACACCTTCTAGCTTCTTCAGCTGATAGCAACATGAATTTCTGTTCTCCCTGAATTTAATGCTATGTAGTCTGCTTCCACCTTGTACCTAGCTATCATTCCTGAAAGGTAACAAATTCTCTTGTTGTTATTCTTCACAACCACTTAGTCTCGCCTGACTCATCACTCAATCATTTCATAACTTTTCTCTTAGTTCGGCTCCTCCCTCCTCTAACTAACCTCTAGCAGACAGAATGGTCCGGTCAGGTGTGCGTGGCGCCCACTCTAAAGGTCGTACTTCATGACACCACTGGTGGCCAATCAACAATGCCAATGATCTTCCGTTCCTCGTGAGGTGCAGCCTGCATCTCCATCCCCTCCACTCACATCTACCATAGTCAGCCAATAGGATCTTGGATGAGCCAGTGTCGTTATCTGTTGACACTAAATGCTCCTATTCTGCACAGCCCTTTTGTTCTACTGAGATTTGGGGTTCTTCTCCTCCCTGATCTCATCTTCTGAGGTGATTCCTGTTCAACCTCTAACCTTCTTTCTGTGTTTAACTCCCGTCCAGGAGGTTTTTTGTCCTCTTCTTCATCCCCTGATTCTTCTTTCTGTTTAGAGTCTTCGCCTTGAATGTCTTCAATACCTCTCGACTCTATGTCTAAACTTCTCCTGTTCCTTATCCTTTCCTTTGCTGGGAAAGGG